TTTAGAAATCATTTCTGATCGTGCAGGCACTCAAACATGTCCTTCACACATGCAGGAAGTAATTTGCATCTGTTTAACATATCATATGTTAATGAAGGCGTGTCAGGGGAGGTGTCTTACCTGCGCTCAGTTCCACGTTAATTGTGATGTACAAAAGAAATGTGCGTGGATTCAGGCGTACGCACGGTTTGATACATCTGGATTTTTTTGTGCGTACACAGATTCCTGGGTTTGAACGTACGTCACGTTTCAGTAAGAAATCCACGCAAGTCACATGAGGCCCCTGGTGTTGGTCTATTGTGTTTTTTGAGGTCCAAGGTCAATGCAGTCTACCAGGAAGTTTTTGAGCATGTCATGCTTCCTGCTGCTGACCAACTTTTTGGAGATGCAGGTTTCATTTTCCAACAGGACTTGGCACCTGCACACAGTTCCAAAGCAGTACCTGGTTTAAGGACATGGTATTCCTGTTCTTAGTTGGCCAGCAAACTCACCTGACCTTAAACTCATAGAAAATGTATGGGGTATTGTGAAGAGGAAGATGCCATATGCTAGACCCAACAATTCAGAAGATCTGAAAGCCACTATCTGAACAACCTGGTCTCGTAACATCTGAGCGGTGGCACAGACTGATCAACTCAATGCTACACCACGTTGCTGCAGTAATCCAGGCAAAAGGAGCCTCAACTAAGTATTGAGTGCTGTACATGCTCATACTTTTCATGTTCACTGGCTATCAGTCTAATTCATCTCAAAGGTGTTTTATTTGGTTGAGGTCAGGACTCTGTGCAGGCCAATCTAGTTCATCACACCAGACTGCCATCCATGTCTTTATGGACCTTGCTTTGAGCACTGGTGCACAGTTATATGGGTGGGTGAGCAAATACTTTTGGCAATATCAATCTGTGTGTAATGAATGAATATATTATACAAGTTTCACATTTTAATGGAATTAAACTTTTTCATGATATTTTAATTTTATGACCAGCATCTGTATCTATTTTTTTAAATAGTCACATTGAAATTGTGGTAAAATACATAATTTGTTGGAACTAAACTGGAAAAAGACTGTAAATATGGCCATTTAAGTTTTAAGTGTATTTATTTATTTATTTATTTATTTATTTATTTATTTATTTATTTATTGAGCCATTATTACATTTTTGCTTTTATTTTTTATTCTATCAGTTTCAGTCCTCCATATCTCTACATTCATGACATCAAACTGAGTGACATAAATGTGTGAAGCATAGACTCATTTATCCACCTCACCAGGACATACAGGAAGGACACAGGAATCATTGGGACTGAATAAATGAATTATATCCAAGTAGGCTTGTGAAAAATGGTATTGTGTGGGATTTATCTTAAGAAAACTTCTCACCGATTGATATTTGCCACTTTGCGGTTACTGCTTTGTGATAATGATGGATTTGTATGTGGCACACACTCACTATCACCTGGAAGTGCTCATTGGAGCTCATGACAACAATGGTGGAAGGCAGCGCAGAGCAGCTCGTTTCTAGACAAGGTTTGACTTTGTAAGGTCTGGCCTTGAGCAGATCTGGACTATTTGCAGGGTGTGTAACAGCAAAGTGGAGACAACGCATGGTAACACTACGAACTTGTGCGAAGAAAGCCAGAAAGTGTAGACCAAGGCAATGTCCTTCAAACAAAACGAGTTAGCCAAGAATCCACAATGCTCTTAGTCAATCTGTCACTTATGAGCAACAAAGTAAGCTGGAAGGAGGTAATGTGGGCTGTGGCTGTTGAAATTAAAAAGTTAGACTGATGATTGGTATGAATAATTTTAGAACACACAGTCACTGATTAAAAGCCAAAAACATTTAAGTGCGGTTGTCATGTCGGCTAAATACGATAAACAAGCTAATAACAAGCTTTTTGCTAAGATCGCCAAACCCTTTATCCATGAGAGGCAAGGGGATCACAACGGAGGGGATTGAACTACATGAAGGCAACATTAGGACAGGTACATATGCCTCAGAACCACACAGACAATAGTTTGAGCCATCAACAGGTTTGCAGTGCCCGTCATCAGATAACCTGCTGGTAGCCTGAACAAAGAAGGAGATAAAAGCCTTGAAAGCTTCTCACAATACATGGAGTGTTTCACCTCAAGTCTAACACCCTCAGAGTGTTTCCTAAGAGGGAGGGGAGCAGAGCCACTGTACAGGCTGAAGGAACAAAGATCCTGGGACCATCAGAAATGATGAACTGATGAGTGAATGTCTCAGAATTAGAAATCCAATGTAGAACAAGAGGAACCATCATGAAAAGATAAGCCGCTGCACAGCATGTACAACCCCTGGCAAAAAGTATGGAATCAGCAGTCTTGGATGAGCACTCATTCAGACATTTCATTCTGTAAAACATAATCAGATCAAAAACCTGATACAATAATAAGGTCATTCCAAAGTGCAACTTGTTGGCTTTCAGGAACACTCAAAGAAGTGAAGAGAAAACATTGTGGAAATCAGTGAACGTTACTTTTATTGACCAAGCACAGGGAAAAAATATGGAATCACTCAATTCTGAGGAAAAAGTATGGAATCATGAAAAACAGATAAACAAAAGACCATTCAAAATACATCACTAGTATTTAGTTGCACCACCTTTGGCTTTTATAATGGCTTGCAGTCTCTGAGGCATGGACTTGATGAGTGACAAACAGTATTCTTCATTAATTTGGTGCCAACTCTGATAGCAGCTGCCAGATCAGCTTTGCAGGTCGGAGCCTTCTTGTGGACCTTTTTTTATTCAATTTCCACCACAGGTTTTCAATTGGGTTAAGATCTGGACTATTTTAAGGCCATTACATCGACTGAATGTGTCTTTCTCCAAGGAATGCCTTCACTGTTTTCGCCCTATGGCACGATGCATTGTCAGCTTGGAAAATTATTTCATCACCTCCAAATATCTGTTCAAATGAAGGGATGAGAAAACTGCCCAAAATGTCAATGTAAACTTGTGCATTGATAGAAGAATTAACCACGGTCATCTCCCCAGTGTCTTTGCCTGAAATGCAGCCCCATATCATCAAGGACTGTGGAAATTTGGTTGTTTTCTTCAGACAGTCCTCTTCATAAATCTCACTGGAACGGCACGAAACAAAAGTTCCAGCATCATCACCTTGTCCAATGCAGATTCTTGACTCATCACTGATGATAACTTTCATCCAGTCATCCACAGTCCATGACTGTCTCTCCTTAGCCTACTGCAGTCTTGTTCTTTTTTGTTTAGGTGTCAATGATGGTTTTCTTTTAGATTTCCTGTATTGAAATTCCATTTCCTTTAGGTGATTTCTTACTGTTCAGTCACATACATTGGCTCCAGCTTCCTCCCATTTATGTTTCATCTGTTTAGTTGTACTTTTTCGATTTTCAAGTCAAATGACCGTAAGTTGTTTGTCTTGATGCTTTGATGTCTTTCTTGGTCTACCAGTACGCTTGGCTTTAACAACCATTCCATGCTGTTTGCATTTGGTCCATATCTTGGATACAGCTGACTGTGAACAGCCTACATCTTTAGCAACCATGTGTGAAGAGTTACCTTCTTCAAGAAGTTTCACAATCCTCTCTTTTGTTTCAAGAGACATTTCTCTTGTTGGAGCCATGGTTCTTGCCACTCCACTTCGTCCAGCGCCCGACTCCAAGGTGTCATGACTGTAGGTGTTTTTAACTGCAGACTAACGAGCAGATCTAAAGAAAATTGACTGGGTGTGTTCTTATTTTCTACCTCCAATTTAAGTTATTCCATACTTTTTTCCTCAGAATTGAGTGATTCCATACTTTTT